TGTCAGGGCTGTTCTTTCTACTGTACGCAGTGTCTCTACTGTAGTTAATGTAATAATCTTTTCTAATAATTGAAAGCGGTTATTTTTTTCTCAACACATAGTTTACTGTCGTCAGTGTTATAATCACGACTTGTGTCACGGCGGGAGAAATCAGGGGCTCGTCAAGTTATTGGTATTATCTTAAAGGTCGTTTCTGTATCTTGTTTTCGATGAAAAAGTACCCATCTATCTTGAATAGAAGTCCAGATATAATTTGCAATGGAAGGATGTGGAGGTAGCATGGTTTCAGAAGTAAAATTAGTGAGAAAATGGCCGACAAAATTCGATGACTTCTATGACTCCAGTGTATTTGGAAACTGAAAATTAAACACTTGTGTGCCTTTAATCAACTTTTCTCAGCAAAATTTTCTTATTAATTAAATTTTAATGTGTTTTATATCGACATAAAATGTGCTGATCCAAAAATAAAGTTTCGATACAAATTGCCAAACGCAAAAAATTGTCGAAATTTTAGATTTCATTATTTTAATGAGTGCCTGATTTCCCCATGAAGCCTCACATTTTTATAAATGAATAATAATAATAATAATAATAATGAAGATCATTTCTATAGCGCCCACTCCCGTGTAAACACAGCTCTAGGCGCTTTACATAAATGCATGTAAGAAAAATATTCATGCACGCGACACACACACACACTCACACACACACACACACACACACACACACACTCATATACACACAAACACACACACATATACATATACACACACAAACACACGCATACACACTCACGAATACATAACACGCACACATGTATGCCAAACACACACAAACACACACTCACACACACACACACACACACACACACACACACACACACACACACACACACACGTACACACACACACACACACACACACATCTACGTGCTTATCACACGCACACGATTACACATCGTCACGAAATGAGAATAAAATAATATATACACTGCAATTCACAAAATACATAAATGGATACATAGACATTTACATAACATTGTACTGAACATGAATCTACTGACTTAAAAAGGATGTCATTAAATGTGTCTTTAAAGATTTTTTAAATTTAGACTCAGATGTTGTATGTCTCAAGGGTTGGGGAAGAGAGTTCCAAACTGACGGAGCAAGGTGGGCGAACGATCTTTCGGCTAATTTTTTACCGCCTTTTCTAGGAACTCGTAAAAGATACTGGTCGCCTGATCTTAGTGATCTAGATGGAACATAAATCTGGATGAGATCACTAAGATATGAGGGAGCTTTGTTATTGACACATTTATGACATAATATTGCAATTTTATATGACATTCTAGCTGACACGGGAAGCCAATGCAACGTTCTTAACATGGGAGTAATGAAAGGTTATCTGCTCTATACACTTAGTTTACTGTCGTCTCCGTTATAATTATTTTATTTCAACCTTTAAGGGGGGAAAGGGGGGGGGGCTACACCCCCAAAGTCAAAATTCTGCTCAAAATCATGGAATTTGAGTTGTAAGCATTTTTAGCTTCCTCAGCCTCTCCTACAACTATTTCATCGCATAAGAACCCTCAAAAACCGTATTTTTACCATACCGGGCATGTTTGTAACCGCCATTTCCTCATAAAGTCAGTATTATATTTTTCTTTATCGGCCGTTTTCTCAAAAGGCGACTTTTCTTTATACTTTTTTTAATAACTCCACCATTTTTCATTCAATCTTCATGAAAATTTCACAGAGTGAAGAGAAAAGGTAATACTAAAAATTGGTCTGTTGAATTTTTGATATATGGAATAGATATTTGTTGGTGGTGTCTGGAGTGTGGATTTTCACGGATTTTTGGCAAACTTGAATGCTACCTCAGGAAAAAATTCATTAAAAATTTTCTAATTTGTTTAGGAAAAACACAACTGACAAATTTTTAGATCTAATGTTTGTGAACACGCTTGCAAAAAACAATCAATTTCCATGAACGATAAGTACAGTATTCATTACGTAAGACATGTCAATAAATTCCAATATGGGGGCGTATCCATGGAAACGAATTTTTTTTTCTCAAATTTGATTGCGGATTTTAAGACTCCTTACTATGCTTGTTATATGCGTGAAAGTTGGTAAAATTCGGTCCAGTAATAAGCGAGATAGCCTCCAGGTGTAAACCCCCCCCCCCCCTTAAATGTGTAATGTTCTACTATACAAATAAAATAATAACAATTAAACAAATTCAAAATTACATTTTATTGATCCACATGGGAAAACTTGGATTACAATGGCAAGCATACTTTCATAAATGCATGATTATATATATACCTACATGGATATACATCAATACATACATTAACGCACAATATTGCACCAGTACAGAAGTTTGACAAACATGCCATTCTGTAACTGCTGCTGCTGCTGCCATTGATACTGATGTTAGTGGTGGTGCTGCTGTTACGGGTGCTGTTACTGCTGCTGCTGGTGTTGTTGTTACTGGTGGTGGTGGTGTTATTACTGGTGGTGGTTGTGTTTCTGCTGTAGCTGACGCCGCTGCCCTCACTGCTGGGAATTATAATTCTCCTGCAACTGGCGGTACACTGTATTTCTAACTACTATGCTGTTTGCTCGATGTTTACATTTACAAAGGTAAGTTTTGTGCCAGTTTTTATCCTCAAATCTGGCCCCTCTGAACCCTAAACCCTGGCCTTGAACCCAACCCAGTACCCTGAAACTTGAACGAAATTACTAATCTTTTGCCACTGACCCTATAACCCCTGGCCCCTGCCCCCTCCCCCACACCCCCCGAACCCTGCCTCCAGATTCTTGACCCCCCCCCCCCCCTCTGAACCATGATCCCTAAACCTCGAACCTTGACCTCTGGATCCCGAACCCTGAGTCCCATTTTTTTTACACCTGCCCCTTGATCTTTACCCCTGCCCCTGGACCCATGACCTTTGACCCCTGACCTTTGAGCTCTAACCTTGACCCCATTAGCCCAACACCTAACTGCCTTCTCTGCAGGATTTTTACACGGACACAATTATAGGCCTCCTAACTCCGATTGTCATTTCGCTGGAGAGTCTGTTGGTCAGTCAGCCTGTATCAGACGAACAATATTTACAGGGGATTCTTACTGTTGCCTGCATGCAAACGAGAAGAAAAGGCACCTCTTGGTATTGATTATTTTCACTGTTTAAATTCTATATTACATATATATATATATATATATATATATATATATATATATATATATATATATATATATATATATATATATATAAATAAAATTATATTTTACATGAAAATGTAATCACCAAACCATTGTGTTAAACCTTCGCATTTCCTACTCATAGCTGCATACCAATTTAAGGCTAAATAAATTCTGCCTCATCTGACATATCAATAATCAATCTATGTTAAGAGACGCCCGAGATATGGTCACTCAAAATTGTCCTGAAAAAATCAAGCTCTGCAAAATTGCGCGATATAAAAAATACGTAGTCTTCTCGCGTGTTTTGGGGAGCATCAATTTTGATAGAATGAAAATAATTAAATGTCCAAAGGATGAAGAATGTTGTGCTGCAATAAACAATTTCCTATTTTGTTTTTTAATTTTTGCCTTGATAGTTTCAAACAAAACGGAGAACAGTAATCTCAAATACCACGCAAAACTTGGACTTAACTGTAAATGTGCTCATTATTTTTTTGCTTCGGAGCCATTAGTTTTGTTTAGTGCACAAATCCTTTGGGCGTCGACTCTATTAAGTTTTGGACATATTTATATGTCATTTCATTCCAAATGTCACAGAGAGTTGCAAACAAAGTGTCTGAGTGGGGAGCAAAATCGCGCTTCTTCAGCTGCTTTTTCATGATACTTCACTCTTCACATACTTGTTGGATTCACGTTGGGGCTATTTACTAGTCACCACTATAACGTTGATTTCATTTGGTTTTCCAAGAATTATCTGGAGGCATTGGTTCTGTGAGAAAGTTCTTTGCTATGCATGGAGATGTTTACTTGAATAACACCATAGCAAAACATAAGGTAAGACATGACGTTCCAGCACGTGAGCGATGTAGTCCACGAAACCAAGCCATCCGGCGATTCTCATGAGGGCGGTTCTGTTCATTACACCCCAGACAACCCAAAACCATGGCAGTTTTGTGGCTTCTGTTTCTCACTGATAGAATAGTATTTAATTATGATTATGTCCAAACTTTAACTAAAACAGTCCGTGTACCAAAAGGTTTCCTGCTCGACACGAAACCATTAGCTCCTATACAAAAACAAAATGATTACTAATGAGCACAGACATGTTAAGTCCAGGTTTTGTGTGGCATTTGCAACTGCACTGTTCTCCAATCTGTTAAAAAAAACCACCAGAAGAAGGTGTCTTTTGCATAGACAATAATATTATTACTCTCTTTTCAGTTGATATTCAACACATGTCCATTCAACCAATGCTGATGCATCTCAATATACGCTCGAACACACTTTAGCAGTTATCTGATTTTGCACAATTTTGCCAAGCCTGATATTTTTAGGTCAATTTTGAGTGACCATATCTCGGGCATCTCTTAAATTAATGTTTCAGATGATGCAGAATTCATTCAGTTTTAAATTTGTGTGCTGCATAAGTACGTAGTGCAAGTCTTTAACACGATGATTTGATGATTACATTTTTAATTTTCTTTTCGACGCCACTTTATGTGTGTGTGTGTGTGTGTGTGTGTGTGTGTGTGTGTGTGTGTGTGTGTGTGTGTGTGTGTGTGTGTGTGTGTGTGTGTGTGTGAGATATGTATTTCACAAGTTAGAGTCGCAACAGATTGGGACATACATTACAGAAGAGAAGACACTACATTTCTTTTTCGTCTCACTTCAATTTTGTTCCCACTGTTTCCGGGATTGGCTTTAAATTTCAGCTCGAGTTTTCGGTACCTTTTTTTGGTGATATAGGGCGGAAGATCACAAGCGACGTGAGATTACAAGGCAGAACAATGCGATTTGGAAAGCTGAACAAGTGTGTGGTTGTAGCAGTTGTAGCTACTCTCACCTTATCTGTATGCTCGGCGCTCATTGAGGACGATCATGAGGACAATGGCAGCGCTGGGGATGATCTTCCGAATGTGACGACATCCCAATCCGCGCAAAACATTTCAGACTCCGAGAGCAAACTCGACCCTACAGTTAGTGACAACAACCCAGAGCAATCCATAAACTCGGTGTTATTGGGAAACTGTGAGTGTACGTTTACTGCTTTTTAAAAAGGATATATTATTTATGTTATTATTTTTCTTATTATCTTATTTATTTAAGGTTGTGTTTATTACTTTAGTGAATTAAAATTAAAATACAACAACAACAACTTTCTATCTTAAGAATATCCCCAACACATCTGCAAAATAGTAAGTCATCAGTTACACTAAGTCCTTCTTTCCTCCTATACTATACTTAACTTTTTATGCCGCATTTACCAATATCACGGGAAAGCCTTTTAATTTGATCCCAAATTTCATCATCATCATCATCATCTTCATCATCATCATCATCATCATCATCATCATCATCATCATCATCATCATCATCACCATCATCATTATTTGGTAAGCAGAGTAGGAGGGAGAGTCTTGTATGAATTTCAGAAAAATAACATAACAATATAAAATGTTTAAAATTTGTTTAATAGTTCAACGTTTCGCCTCGTGGGCTTCCTCAGGAGCAACTGAGAGAAAAACTAAATGAACGCTGTATATAGCAGGGAAATAAGCCTAACGCAGAGGGTCTTCAGATTACGTGTGGTTACAGGTTAGACGGAAGTGACTAAGAGGGAGCCAGGCCAAGGGGCTAATTATAAAGAAATTGGCGCTAGTCTAGCAAGAGTATCAATTTTATCTCTACGAGAGTCTGACAGGAAGTTAATTGTGTGAATTGAGGGAAATGTTTGGGCGTACTTTATAGAGACATCCCAGTTGAAGGCAAAAGGACTAAGACAGAAGAAGGGTGTGTCTCATATATCATCATCATCATCATCATCATCATCATCATCATCATCATCATCATCATCATTGTATAAAGAAGGTATTAAAACAGTTAAGACCTTGTTCTATTTCCAGAAAATATATATTTTTCACAGTTCAACATTTCGCCAATAAGGCTTCATCAGGAACATAGTATTTGAGAAAAAATCATCATCATCATCATCATCATCATGAAGTGCCAGATCTGCGACAGACATCAGCGATCGTTGGTCTCCATTCGTTCCTTTGTTCGGGTGCTATTAAAAAACCCAACTCCAATACCCTGATCTTTCCTCGTCACCCATCTGCCTAGGTTCTCCAAATAGGTTGCTCGTGCGCCATAATGAGCTGGAAATACGTGCACAGTCTAAGTCACATTATAATACAAGTCTCCTCTGAGTTTATTTAAAGGCTTCCAAACAAAGCTTATTTTGGTAGCCAATCAAAGGCTTTCAGAGTTTATTTTGGTAACCAATCAAAGACATACAAACCACTATTGTGGTTCGAAATGTGCTAAAACACTGACTTTGGGTTCATCCTCTGGAGAGACAAGTGCAGCCGCTTCGTCCTTGAAGAGTTTAAAGCTCGGTTTCTCCGGCAACACTGATGTTTTTCCAGTTTGGAAAACCGCCAATTGTGCTGCTCTTCGACTCTTAGAACACTTGAATTGACAGAAAGTCCTCCCTCGGACATTTTGTTTCCACTTGGAAAATAGGAGGCAAAAGAGGCAGAGGTAGGCCAAGAGAACTTGCTTAGAGAACGTGTGGTTGACGAGGATGGACAGGATAGCAAAGATCCTTTTCCGTAAACTAACTGGTTAAGAGGGGGGGGGGGGGGGGGGTGACTACACTCCAAAAGTCAAAATTGGGCTCAACATTTTCAGTTGTAGGCATTTTTAGCTTCTTCAGCCTCTCTTACAACAATTTCAAGCATTGGAACCCCCTAAAGCCTTATTTTTTCCCATACTGGGCGTGTTTGTCACCACCATTTCCTCATAAAGTCAATCTTTTATTTTTTAATGGCTCGTTTTCTCAAAACGCGGTTTTTTCAATATACTTTAATGAAGAAATCCACTATTTTTCATCCAATTTTCATTAATTTTTCACTCAATGAAGAAACGATGTAATACTAAAAATTAGTATGTTGAATTTTAGATATATGGAATAGATAGGAAAAATTCATCATACAAATTTGTAAATCTAATATTTACTAACATGTAGGGGAAAAAACAAAAACAATCTATATCCAAGAAAAATAAGTGCAGTATTCATTACGTAACACATGTAAATAAAATCCAATATGGCCGCTGTAGCCATAGAAACGAAACGTTTTTTTTCAAATTTCATTGTGGATTCTAACACTCAATACTATGTTTGTTATTTGTGTGAAAGTTGATAAAATTTGATCTTCCGCCCCCATCTTAAGTATACAATGCATCAAACGTTTTTTTTTATATAATTCGCTTAAAAGGTAAAGAAATGTATTTTATACGAGGTGACATTGTTTAGAGTGATACTTAAGCTTTTGCCTGACACAAACATTGAATTAGAGAAAGAGCATTGAATATAGTAATTTCGTGTTGTTCTTCTATTTTGTTGTTGTTGTTGTTGGTGGTGGTGGTGGTGGTGTGTGGGGGGGTGGGGGTGGGGGGGTTGTTTTATGTATTTTTTATGCTAGTCTTTCCTGGTAAATGTACCTGTCTGCAGTTGTACTGTCAGACTACGACAGGGACAATAGGTTTCTTGAGAACAGATATATTAAATCTGACACTTGAAAAAAAGAACCATGCAGCATTTTGTATACTATCAATTTATTGGAAGTTTTGAGTTTGAAGAAAGAGTAGCACATCGACTTAGTGTCAGTTAATCAGTGCAGGGACAAGGCGAGTTAGATAGGCAGAAACAACAAATGGGGGAGAAAAAAGAAGTAACAGGAACTGTCAGCCGAACCCTCCAACCATCCATACTTACTGGGAGGTATCGTAGTGAAAGACAAAAACACATTATGAATAAGTTTTGTTTTACTCAGTCCACCCCA